ATCTGATGTTATATATTCCGGTTATCCAATGTTATTACTGGTGTTTCGTTTGGTATTTTTAATTTCAGGCTGTACTACTCCATCTTTCAGTAAGAGAATGGTAAACCCAGTGGAGAAAAGATGATGTTAGATCTGGAGTCAAAGTTTAAAATATGTAATGTAAAGCAAGGAGAAGAATATGCAAAAGTTGGAACAACGGAGGATGGACAAACGGTCGTAGCTATAAGTACTCTTTTAATGAAGAGGATCCACACACAATGGTCATACAGTGCATTACGTGCTTCATAGATTCAGTGGATGGACACAATTGCAGGGTATTTCTTCTCCTTACTCACAGCCCTGTTGGAGATTTACTCCTTGGAGTCATTGTAACTTCATCAGAATCTGAAAGTACCATCAAGTATATGGACTTGACTTGTTAGAGAAAATATCTTCAAAAGTCATCGGTTAAGCCTCTGAAAAGGAAAATGAAAGATGAGGAAGTGAGCTTTAACTTGATCTGTGTCTTGAACACCTATGGAACTTGTGAGTATTTTTCCTGATTTTTGAAGTAGGGATATTTATCAATGTTGTCTATGGCACCTGATTTACTGGTCTGGACCCCTAGACAATGGAGTATTTACTTGTTGATGACTACGATCTTAACGAAGATACCAATAGGTCACTCAAACAATAACACTCTTGTCTTTTGTTGAAGAATATATTAGCAGAACAAGAAATCCCCAAAACTATATGTGTGGCCACAACTTCAAAATTTAAACTTTCCGCGATTTCAGTGGCAACTGGAATTTCAAAAGCATCTCCACATCCCCCAGATATCCAACGTCTAATGTATTCATAGAAAGAAACATACAAACAAATAATAAAACACCCCATCAGAAAGGCAAAACTATCAAATATCAATGTAAAAAAGCCCTAGTTATTCAATAGAGCCACCCCCGTCAATCATCATCTCGAATCATCAGCCGATTTGTTATACATACATGTACGGTAGAACTTAGAACAACACTACCTACAAAGACACACGACAACGCAACAAACAGGGATGAAATACACCAGAGACTTCAAACTAGACAAGAGCAACCGAAACGCCACTCCAACAAGAACGCCCACAAACTAGCACCACTACATAATGGACAACCTGTTCATGTCCGTGACAAGTTAGAGAAAGAAAGGATCCCCGACTCAGAACCGCATTCATGCATGGCTCAAACAGAAAGTGGTCAATTGTTAAGAAGAAACCGCCCAATGCTAAAGGAAAGTGGAAAGCAAAGAGTTACATTTGAACTTGGAGACTTCATAGAAACCATGCAACAACAAACAGAGAACCCATAGCTCAGGCAAACAGCAAATAGCTCAGCAACTCAATCATGTATAACAAGATCTGGACGCACAGTTATCGAGCCACCAGATTAGACCTGTAGACGCACTGTTACTACCAAAATTGAGATTCACATTCATTACACTCATGAGTTTGTATCTGCATTCAATTGGGGACCCTGAACAATAGAGGACAATAAGGTCCCCGATTGACAGAGGGTCCCCGATTGACAACTGTGTACAAAACATATGGGTGGTCTTGTAAAAAATTTGAAGTACAAACAAAAGAGGAACAATAGGGGGTCCCCAGTTGCAGGCAAATACACACTTGTATGCGTATGCAGGTAATGTTAGTTGTTAGGGTGAGCAGTTTAAGACAAGTTATTTCTGCTCAAGTGCACGGTTCTTAATTTCAATTAAAGTAAGTCCTCGTGAGCAATGCTGAGTTAAAGTTAAAGTAATTGATATTAAAGTTTGTAACCTAAAGTCCCAGCTCACTAAGTATAAGCAAACCATATTAAACGCAAAGTACAATATGACACCACCGTAAAAAAGCTTTCCTTTTTAAATAAAAGAATGGGACCAAGTTGTTACGCGTTATAAATCCGTATATAGTGTTATTGGGCACATTGTTTACGATTTCCCAATTGGTGATAGCTCACCATGGACACGTAAAACTAAGCCAGCATCGGGACCACAGATATCTCCTGTGTCCTTTTCCACAACCATAACTTATTTGCGGGTAAGTGTAACTGGTAGAGTTTTTTATTTGACAGTTCGCTACAGGGGCAGGTATTGTGTGAAGTGGCACCTTCAACCTTTGACAGAAAAGACAATTTATAATTCTACAGCTTTGAATGATGCAACAGTTGTTTTTTTTTTTCTGTAAGCTTAACGTAACGAAGAATCCCACCATTTCTACCATCCACACTGGCAACCAGTGACAAGTGATTCATGTAAACGTCTCCCAACAAACCTAGTCTTGGCCCAAAGACGCCCGTCCTCGAAAATGATCGTTCACAGTGTGGCCTCTAACGCCCTCCATTCGACCGGGGCACTTGCTCGCACTAAGGTCATGTATTGGGAAACTTGTGGGAGAATTTTGCCTGTTAGTTTTCTCTACGAGCTTTGCTGTACAGAACCAAACAGCAATCCTGAAAAGTTTCATTGTCAGTCTTTCTTTCAAATATAATGTTAACCCTTTTTTCTGTATGTTATTTTTTATCTTTTTACCTGGCATTTTGGCTTGGCTTCCTACGATACATGCCCAATTAATGATTATTTTGTGGTATAACTCTTTGTCTATCTTTTAAAATGTAGCGTTTTTTTTTTTATTGCTGTCTTATGGTCTTTTACTTTGTTTGGAACTGTTTGCCTTTTGGCAATAGTGGTTATAAATACATTCATGCAGAATCTTACATCAGAATGGTGTCAATTGGCTTTTTATTTATTTTTTTTCTTTTTGAGTCATATTGAGTACATTTTAGTCGCTGGGAAGCCCCCCAAATTCCATGACTACGATCAGCCTTTGGGGTTTTTGTGTTTGTTTGTTTGTTTTATTTTTTTCCTTACCACAAACAGTGGCAGATGATTTACTAGTCCATCTCCCCCTTAAAAAGCAGGGGATGTATATTCCCCAGTCCCGTCCCCAGGAGTTACGCCCACGGTGTTGACTCTGACCTTGGCCGATGGAGAGAGAGCTCTCTTCCCCCTTTGTGCGCCCCCTCGAGACGGACAAACCAGAGAACACTACTCGACACTTCCAGACGTTTTTCATAGTGGTCGTACCAATGAAGTACCATTGTATTATGTTCTCCTTAAATCTAGGTATTCAACAAAATCAGACATACCAGTTAGATTGAAATCTGAAAAATTAGGCCTATGATACTACCTACATTAGGGGCCTACATTACTAGAGCAGAAACGAAGGAGACACACTGGACCTGTCTTGTCTTGACGCTGTTTGCGACCGTAACCATGACTTTTTACATGCTTGGGGTAGTAAAAACCTTTCAGATGGTGGGTGAAAACTTTTCTTAACACTGAAATTGCAATTAATTTGGAGACATGGGAAATCAACACTTAAGCACAATACTACGCACTAACCTGAAGGTTCAGAGTGCAAAGCAAGCAGTAAGCATGGAATTACATGTACCTTGCACGTCATGGCTATACATATTTCTTCCTGGTTAAGTTATCGACATAGAGATACATGTATGATTTTCCCTGATTTACTGCTCAATTGCAGGAAAGTGTACAGCACGTAATAAGAAGGGTAGTTGCAATCAATTTTTTGTACAAATCTTCGGAAGTTACCTGCCACCTTGGTGTCCCGGCTAACCGTATTTCAAACGTCTGTTTCACTATTTCAACCGGTAATTTTCTGCCCTTTTAGTTTTTTTACGCTGTTTCCAAATACATATTATTTCATTGTCGTTTATGCACACATCTTCAAGAAAGCACCAATCCCGTTCTTCAAAATGTGTTCAGTATTAAACTAAATTTCTGGTTCCAAATTTTAAACGAAAAGAGNGTCCATTTGGGACAACGTGCAGTCCATGTTGTGCGTCCTTTGCCCTCCAGAAGCATGTAAGGGACAATGTGGGAGATCCAGATGTCCTCCGTAGTGTCCTAGAGGCTTTTTATGTAGACAATTGCCTTGATGGTAAGCCCACGGTTGATGAGGCCAAGCAGCTTGTGGAGAAGTTGCGTGAGTCCCTCGCTGCAGGAGGATTCCCAATTGTGAAGTGGGCAAGTAACAAGCCTGCCGTGGTTGCTGACTTACAATCTGAAGCTCGGTCAGACAATACCGAACGATGGCTCAACTTCAGTGGTGATACCATCCACACTGGCAACCAGTGACAAGTGATTCATGTAAACGTCTCCCAACAAACCTAGTCTTGGCCCAAAGACGCCCGTCCTCGAAAATGATCGTTCACAGTGTGGCCTCTAACGCCCTCCATTCGACCGGGGCACTTGCTCGCACTAAGGTCATGTATTGGGAAACTTGTGGGAGAATTTTGCCTGTTAGTTTTCTCTACGAACTTTGCTGTACAGAACCAAACAGCAATCCTGAAAAGTTTCATTGTCAGTCTATCTTTCAAATATAATGTTAACCTTTTTTTCTGTATGTTATTTTTATCTTTTTACCTGGCATTTTGGCTTGGCTTCCTACGATACATGCCCAATTAATATATATTTTGGTCCAACTCTTTGACTATCTTTTTAAATGTAGCGTATTTTTTTTATTGCTGAGTGTCTTATGGTCTTTTACTTTGTTTGGAGCTGTTTGCCTTTTGGCAATAGTGGTTATAAATACATTCATGCAGAATCTTACATCAGAATGGTATCAATTGGCTTTTTATTTATTTTTTTTCTTTTTGAGTCATATTGAGTACATTTTAGTCGCTGGGAAGCCCCCCCAAATTCCATGACTACGATCAGCCTTTGGGGTTTTTGTGTTTGTTTGTTTATTTTTTTCCTTACCACAAACAGTGGCAGATGATTTACTAGTCCATCTGCCCCTTAAAAAGCAGGGGATGTATATTCCCAGTCCCGTCCCCAGGAGTTACGCCCACGGTGTTGACTCTGACCTTGGCCGATGGAGAGAGGGCTCTCCATGCCCCCATTGAACAGTGAGCCCCCTCGAGACGGACAGACCAGAGAACACTACTCGACACTTCCAGACGCTTTTCATAGTGATCGTACCAATGAAGTACCATTGTATTATGTTCTCCTTAAATCTAGGTATTCAACAAAATCAGACATACCAGTTAGACTGAAATCTGAAAAATTAGGCTTATGATACTACCTACGTTTGGTCTACATTACTAAAGCAGAAACGAAGAAGACACACTGGACCCGTCTTGTCTTGACGCTGTTTGCGACCGTAACCATGACTTTTTACATGCTTGGGGGGTAGTAAAAACCTTTTAGAAGGGTAGGTGAAAACTTTTCTTAACACTGAAATTGAAACTAATTTGGAGGCTCCTACATAGGAAATCAACACTTAAGCACAATACTACGTGCGCACTGACCTAAAGGTTTAGAGTGTAAAGCAAGCAGTAAGCATGGACTTACATGTACCTTACACTTCATGGCTACGTATTTTTCTCCCTGGTAAAGTTATCGACATAGAGATACATGTATGATCTTCCCTGGTTTACTGCTCTATTGCAGGAAAGTGTACAGCACGTAATAAGAAGGGTAGCTGCAATCAATTTTTTCTACAAATCTTCGGAAGTTACCTGCCACCTTGGTGTCCCGGCTAACCGTATTTTAAACGTTTGTTTTACTATTTCAACCGGTAATTTTCTGCCCTTTTAGTTTTTTTTACGCTGTTTCCAAATACATGTTATTTCATTGTCGTTTATGCACACATCTTCAAGAAAACACCAATCCCTTTCTTCAAAATGTGTTCAGTAACTAAAATTTTGGTTCAAATTTTTAAACAAAAAGGGCATGTGCATTAACTGTGTCTTCTCTGGACGAAATCAACAGCGCCCTCAGCTTGGGAAAGCATGGATAAGTTTTAGTCTTTATGAAAGTGTCCTTTGCAATGTACTTAATCAATTGGGAAATTGGCAGAGATTTCTTACAATAAAGAAGAGGGCAAAGCTGCAGGGAAAATGTAAGAAAAAGTCACTGCAGCTACACTTTAAACCATGCGAATGCACACGTATGAATGCTCGTGTGAGGTGTGTTGGAGTTTACTTTGAGTCAGAGGCTAGTATAATCTTCTTGAAGCTTTCTTCATAAAGCTTATTCTGAATATTAACAATTTTGGGACGGTTACTACTGCAGACAAAAGTTCCCGTATAAAATTGACTCTATCAGTCACTACCCCCGTTTGGTGTTTTGAATATTCAACAAGAATTTTAAAAAATGTTCCCGTGTGAAGTCCCCTTTCCTCGGAACAAAATGTAGTTCCTTCCATGACGTGCGACCCGCTTAACTGCGTCTTCGAGGTCCAGTGCGTAAGACTTTTGAGACGCTTGTGTTGGTAACGGCAAATAGTCCCGTCCAAGGCAACTGCTCCACAATTTCTTTGCGTCACGCTCGAGCTAATGTGCGCTTGTCAAAATGACGCAAGCAATGGTGGGTCAGTCACGGGGTGCGGCCGGTATTCATTCGCTGCCCATCAAGACTCTCGAAGGTCTCCCATAATATTTGAAGATGCGACTAATTATGTTAACACACTGACAGTTTTCATCCATAAACGTCAATGGCTAAAGTCCTGGGAGCAGCCAAGGACTGTACTACCTCAAGAAGCTAACGGAAAAATAGCGCCGCTGTCAACAGGGAGCACACAGTGAGAGGCCCGCTGAATCCGAGGTTGCCTTGACCGTTGCACAGCGCCCCGTTGCAGCACCAAGTTGAAACGGTCCCCCCGTCTACCTGAACTCCTTCCACAGCAACGCACGGGAAATCTGATGAGGAACACGAGCGCACTGTCGCGGTGATAGCTGGAATCAAACCCGAGGCTTCGGAAACAACTCTTGTCTTCTAAAATGACATTGAAACAGAAACGGTTACAAAACAATAGTACATCATCTATATCTATTTTCACTCAAACGACTGTTGTCGTGCGTGAGGAAAAAAAGCCATTTTCGTTCTTCATTTGGGATAAATCACACCAGCAGAGGCACAGATGGAGTACATTTTTCAGGGAAAGATGCGGCACACTTGGACTTCATTTTGTTGAGGGGGCAAACAGGGGATTGGTCAAAGTACACTAACCACAACAAGACTATAAACAGATTCGTTTGAAATTCCTTCTCTAAATTCTGAGTGGGGGCAGGGTAGAGACCTAGAGCGGGGGGAGGGGTGTGCCCGGATATCTCCCTCATGCCAGAAAACGATAGGTGTGACATTATCACATAATGTACATGAACTGAAGAAAACTCCGAGCAAGCTACGAGAAAATTGCAATGGATGACGTTGGTAACCGTTTTGTTTATTTGCGTTAAGCCACTCACGCTCTTTGCCACCATTCCTCGTATGCGCATGCGCGCAAATTATAATTTTTGGTCTACTGAACAGGTCCATTGTATGGTGTACTATTTGCGACAAACATTTCTGTCTCTCTAAGCGACGTATCTACACGTACGACGCGACGGCAGAACGGCTTCCTGACATTGCGCCGTCGCGTCGCGGTCTTTTTACCATTACGTTTGTACGCACGCGTCGCGTATCGCGTCTGTCCGTTGCCTTTCGCGTCGTGCTGTCCTGCGTCCTTTCCATCTTTTGTTTCCATATTTGTCTGCCTAAACGTCGCTCCATCCGTCGCCTGTCTAGTCTTGTTGTCGTGCGTCTCGTTGTAAGTTGTATAGTGCGTCGCGTATTACGTCATCTGAAGCATTGCAACGTACGACACGACGCGTCATGTTCTGTCGCCCTTTGCTTCATTGTCTTTATAGAGGGCGCCTTTACTGTTCTCTTCCATTTCCGTCGCCCATGCTTGCATAGTACATGCTCTAGGTAGCAGGCCTTGATTCTGTTTAAATCAAATGCAATTAGAACGTTCGTCGCGTCAATTCATCAGCATTGTCTCCAGGAAATGAATAACATTAACGTCAGCCACAACAATGTTCTGGGTTCTCCTGCTCTAATTCTGATCTTTATCACAATTATTGGTAAAATCCATTTTAAGATGCAGTACATCAATCATTATTACGTGCTTGCTTATGCAACGTGTGGATCTGACGAGATATTATTTGCGTGGCCAATCAGGCTTGAAGAAAACACACCGTCACAATGATAATAGGGTCTACAGTATTTCATTCAGAAAAATGAAGGACTAATATCATTGAAATTGTGGTGCTGATAAAGTTAATGGGGAAGACTGAAGGAAGATTGAAGACATATATTCAGAGGGTGATTATATAGCGTGGGGTGAAGGCTGGGTGGTAACTGCCTAAACCTGAGGTTAAACCTGCGGTTGTACAATACGGGCGATTATGCACCATCAGCCTCGGCAGATTTCGCGCCTCGTGATTGGTCAACCCTTCGCAAACTCTTGGAGGCGCACTATTGTAAAATGCCCATGTCGTAGACAAGAGTGGAGTACTACCTGGAAACTGCTGGGATGGACTACAGAGAAAAACTCTATAATGTTACAATTCTAGCAGAAATGGAAACTTCACCAAGAAGTTCAACAGAAGTTGGAACAAGAATCGGCCAGGTAATTAAATTCTTGGCTTATGCTATGTGACAGCAGTTCTACGCAGAATTTTCTGCTTACACTTTTTTTCATTTTTTGAAATAAAATATGACAAAAACTAATTCCAATGAATGAATGAATGAAAAAAAACAAGAAAAAATCAACGTCTGCGGCTCATTTTGCAAGAGCGGAAGAAGAAAGTGAAAAAAAACAGTGATTGCGCCCTCTATAAACACCATGAAGCAAAAGGCTATACACCACACGACACGTTGCGTCGTGCCTCAGGCGACTAATACGTGACCAGACGCACGACACGACATACGATGCAACGCACGACGATGCAACGCGACGGGCTGCGGAAGGAGCGACATTTAAGCCGAAAAATACGCAAAATGCAAAGGACGTCAGACAATACGACGCGACGGGCGACGGCAAGACGCGACGTGTGTGTGCAAACGTAATGACAAGAAGGCAACGGCGTGCCTTCGCCTCGTATAGCTGCGTCGCCTGAAGAGAGGCTAGAGAGATTGAAATGTGCGTCATAAATAGTACACAATCCCATTGGACCATGACAGTGACAATCGCACATTATGCAGCTGTACGACTTACCACGCACTGGCCGCTGCACGGTATCTGCTGGATACCATCGGCGATGAACGGGTCAGCACATCCTGCCGGACTGTCGGACAATTGACCCAAATCAAGGTATGTGCAGTTGTAGCACTGTGCTTTCACTTCGTACGCGCCGAGAACTATGAGGAAATAATATAACAATTGAAGAATTTATAGGTAAAATAAAACGTATTGCGTACTAATAGTTAATAGGTCTGACATCTAAGCCATCCCTACTGGTCAAGAGCCAGCGATGTATCTATAGCATTTACTGTCAGGGGAAGGGGGCAAATTCCAAACTTGTGGCTAATTCGAGCACATTCAACATGCAGTGATGTTTGGGGGGGAATCAAAACCTTACTTGCGGTCCTATCCTTGCTTTTATTTTGTGGTGCTGTTTTCTTAGGGTTTTGGTACTAATATTAGATAAGTAAATTACCGATTACTTGAAATGCCCTTCATGGTCATAGACTGATTACTACTACCGGACACGTCCATTTTCCCATTCTACCGGGTCGGAGGAGAAAAAAAATGACTTTAGTCAATTTTTCAAACACTATAAAAACACAGTTGGGAATGAAATGTCAATTTTTCATTTTTTCCCCTAAAATTGCATTATTCAGAGTAGGCGGGTTCTCAGAATGATTGTGTAAAACATGTCCTCTGTGTCCGCTACACTGAGTACTGTTGCACACATCTTCGTTTATTTAGGGAAATAAGAGGTCAATTTGAGGCACGATATGTCAGGAAATCTTTCCTCTTCCATAAATTTATATGTTGGCAATTAAATAATTCACAAGGACCGTCCCAGGAGACAATTTTGTGAAACAAGCAAAAAAGCAAAAGAATCGCAAATTCTATGGCAGGTTATTTCTCCCATTCAAAAGTTCTGGAAGCTCGCCATGTTTCAGGGTTCACCCCGAGCCTGAAGGTCGTATATCCCCGTAGGCTGCATGCACAGTGACCCAAGTATTTGCTTGTCATATAGTGAATAAGGATTTCCGTTGTTTATGACTAGATGCATTAACCCCCCCAGTATCCTGTGGACCTACGGTTTGGGTTTCTTCTCGATTCCTTTTTTTTTTTTTCTCGACCAGGAAATTCCGAGGGAAAGTCAACTTGGCTGTACAAGACCATGACAAGACAGAGTGTTGAGTGTACAATGTCACGGTAAAGGCTGGGCCGACCACATTTACTGTGAATCAATAACATCCGGGAACGTGCATGGAGGGACTATGTGACACCGCTGTAATCATTGCGACATAAGGTTGTGCGCATGCGGAACCTAGATAATTTGATATGGCGCCCTCTTGTGACCATCCCTGACTTTTCCCTTCCCAGTTTGTAGCACTGTGTAGCAGTGAGTTGGTGCACAAGTCAATGGTGTAGCGCTTTTTGCTACAGATTGCCATGCCCACGTACGCTTATCTGTTTCCATTCGTGTTTGCTTGTGCGTCCAGTCTAGTCGGCGGCAAGGGGGTTGGTCTAGTTCCTGGGTACCATTATAACCATATTGCGTATCTAAGTCCAAGCCTATGAAGGTACCTGAAATTTCATAGGCTCGTACTGTAGCATGTAGCACTGCTACACGACATGCCTGGGAGATTTGTTCGTCCCATTTCATGCCATGCCTGGTATACTTGTGACGGCTGGACAGCACGCGTGACCGTTGCAAAAGATCATTCAAACTGCGATATGAATAGGCCTACATTGTGCAATTTTATCTTTTTCCAAAGAAACTAATCATGAATAATTCGTTAAAGGTCACGAATGTTATTCGAACATGGCAGCCAGTCTGTGAATAAGATAAGCGATACTATTTTAGTGCGAAGTTTGTCTCCTAAATCAATGTACATTTGCTGCTATTATAGGAGTGTCTCTGGATATGAAGAAATTGATTTTCAAGGTTTTTCAGGACATTTTTATCCACCTATCATGACTTTTTTGACTGCCATTTCAACCGTGTCAGCAGTGATAAACTCATCAGGACACAGTTACACACAAAGGCGAGTGAGCAATTTGGATTGATCATCGTATGTATGTATTTCAAAACTGATCAAATTGTCGCCCAGTACGCCATTTTCAGCATTATAGATGGAGCAAACATTGGGGATTACATAGCACCTGTTCCATTTTGGTGTAAAAGGCACTTTTTGAGGTATACTTTCAATTTCTTTGTGACTATTGCTCCATGCTGAGACCATGGAAGAAGGAATGCTGAGACTCAATTATAAAAAAAAAATTAAGCATCAAGAGAATTTCGTCATTGACATAGGGGTAGTTCTTGTAATAAAGATAATTGAATAACAAATGAATTAAATATTGACATGTAAAACTTTGAATCTGTAGTGGACAAATTGTTTATTGCAATGTTCGATTTAAGATGATAGTATCTAGGCCTACAATTTTGTAATTAAAGTGTTAGCTTCATGTAAACATTGAGGCCTAGGCCTGTATTTTTCTGATAATAAAAATTCCTTCGAAATGAATATTTTTCATTGGTGCCTTTTTTAGAAAACCCCACAATATGGATCAAATATAGTGAAGAAACATTCCCTCCCTTTCCCGTTTTTAGTGCAAATATTGTGAACTACAGAATTCGGGTTGTATGGGATGCCCGTTGTAATTGTACATGTATATAGCCCTGTGTACATGTACACGTAAGCGGAGTAATGCGCTGTGCGTACGTGTGAGTATTCATTTCTCGTACATTTCGTCGTAATATTCGCTGGGGAATCCCACCGTTTTATAAAAAAAACTACACATATTGCCCATTTGAAAAGCTGCTATTTTATAGAAGCAAACTTAGTTATTATATCCATACCTTCAAAATGTTATAACTAAGTCAACTTCATGGTGAAAAACGCCCCACGAAACTTGAAAATTTCCAAGCAAATTGATGCTTTTCAACCTGTTTCATTGTTTGTTTTTTTCTTTCGCCTCTTTCCCTTTTTTTTTTTTTTTTTTTTTGGTGATTGCATTGTTTTTCTGGGAGAGAAAGCGGCTTTCTCCTTGCCTGCCCGCTGGCTCCTTTCCCGCCCCCCCCTCCGTGACGCCCATGACATATAGGCCAGTATGTAGGACAGATAATCTTTCCATTCAGTGCATACTTACACACGGCAGATAGGATCACGGTGTGAATGATGTTCATGGCTGATCCAAGCTGGCTGATCCAAAATCCGCGATTAATTCTGCGGTATATGGGCAGAACATTTTGAGAGAACCTCGTCAAGAGAATGTCTATACAATGCTGCCTGCATCGCAAATTAACAAACTTGGGCAAGAAGTGTACATTTTGCATCAGCTGATATAAAAGCATGTAGATATTTTTCTCAATCAATACAAGGAGTTGGAATTTCCAAGCGTAAAAACATCGCGCAGAAATGAATGCATATATCACTACCGTTTACCCTGGGCATTACTACCGTATTATACTATTTCGCTGGAAGGTGTCTCAGAAATTATCACGTTTGAGCTCCCAGGATGAATCTCCGTCCATCTTTTTTAAAAGTTTCCATTAAATGCATGGAATCCCTTGTTTCGGAGACCGCCAGAAACGCCTTATAGAAATGGCAGCCGCACACGACACACGGAAATAAACAAAATGACATTGACTCGAAGCAATGCATGTCTGCCAAGACAGGTTTACAAAGTATCGGCAGGCCTGTATGTATTAGATGCCCCTCTTTAGTTCGGCAATAAAAACGCTGTTTCATAGCCCCCCCCCATAACCCCGAGACAACGGCTAGAACCTTACACCTCCCTGCTAGAACAATTTCTTGGTTCCACACGTATGTTCACTCCCATGCTCTTGTGCACCACTTAGTTGAGAGCTAGCGCATGCGTACTCGAGCACTTCATGCGAGGCAGGAGACGTCATGTCAAATATCGTCCCGACATTTCTTTTCGTGGATGAAGATCATAATTATTTTTAACAAAACTCAAACAGATAAAGTTCACGCAGATCATCTGATAAGTAAAAATGGATTAGACAACATTAAACCACCGCATTATATGAACCCAGTTGCACAAAATTTGAAACAAATTTTGAAAAAGTGATTTTTACAAAAAATAAACACAATCAGATTGGAAAGAAAATACATCCACGGTCTTTTTCGTTTTAAAACAACTTCTCCAATAATAAAAACATCGGTAGTATTTTCAAGTTATTGCAAATTTAATATCTCGCACGAGAATCATTTGTCCGTAGTAGTTTAATGCGTGCGTTGATGGAGTACATGTACATTGTACATGCACAGTACATGTACATGAACTTGCACATGTGCACACTTAAACCATGGCCGACCGGTCGACAGAGAGCCAAAACTGAAATTGATCAAACTAACACAGGACAATTCGCTATAGCTTAACATAACCGGCATGGTAACCTTTTTCAAACACTCTTTCAGTTATGAGGATATGCAGCATGTGTGGAATAACTGGGGAACAATTCAAATTTTCAAGTTTAAAATACCCTTTTTATGTTCAGAAATGTAACGGTAAAATACATCTTTCACCCCATTTTCTCCCAAATGTCTCTTTTGATTAACGGGAAACACATCACAAAATGAAATCTGAAGCCTGATTATACTTTCTCTGGTATAAATTCAGGAGACGTTTACACAGTGCGGAAGATCTCGGCGGATAGATTTTGGTGTAGCCATTTGCTGGATGGCGTCGCCATTTGCACAAGCTGCAGAAAATGACTCGACTTTGCCGAATTTTAGCACATGCGTACAAACTAAGTGGAAGAGGTGAACATACGTGGATCCGCAAAGAAAGCAGCCTACACCATCAGGACAACAGCATTGTCTGTTTCACCAAGCTCAAGAGGATATGAAGCCACAAACCAGCCCCGAACATATAGATGCAACCCAAACAGAGAGTTTGGCATATAATAGGGTGCGAGTGGCCACTTCAATGTAAAGCTGAAAACAGCTAGCAAAAATGCCAAGTGTAAAAATGCAGTTACCAATCTTATGTACAGGCCAGATGAACAAAGGAAAATGAAATTCAGGGTCAATAGATAAACAGAAACAGCTAAATTCACTATTCTCGCACCTCGGCATATGCTAGAACGGAAGACCTTACGAAATTTGCTGTGAAAGATGCTACTTACACGGTCACGGGTATGAGTCTCGCAGATTTTCCTTTTTACGTGTCGGCAATGTGTCGGCAACTTGAATTTACAACAGCGCTCAGTTCTCAGCACTTCTGTGACGAATCACGACCTACGCCCAACATAACATGTACATGTACAGTAGATGGCTGTGCGCAGTCACTTCTAGGTCGCCTGGTCTCAGTTTTTTTTTAGACAGCACGCTTAGGGAAACGCGACTTGATTAAAGCCTAAAGGTGACAATCGGGGCTGTGGAGAATGCATCCACCACCAAAGCGACCATTTCAAATGCAGGGAAGCTTTGCGTACAGCACTACACATACCCAGCGCGAAGACTAGTCTCTACTCGAGTGGAAATAAAAAGCATATTGCGATAGGATAGTGCATGGCATATTCCCCGAACCGCTGTGCAGTAAAACATAATCGCCGTCCGGCTGGGCGTTGTTTCAACGCATGCGCACGCAATACAGCGGCATGTTTGGGCAACATTAAGGTTCTGACCCATAAACCCCCGCGAAGTGAACTTTCAAGGCAAGTAAAGATCAAAGTGTACACCACATACTAACTCGAAAAATCTGACTCAGTAGCCAGTTGCAGTGTACTGAAACAACGCCAAACCCAACAGAAAAAAATCCAGACGGCGATATTATCAAATATTCTGGGCAAAAAATGGTTCAGAGATTGCGTGAATAAGGCCGGCTAAATATACAAAGAAAATGTGACGAAGAAATTAAATGGGAAGGTGCATTGACCGGGGAGGGCTGAGGGCTGTAGGGTGCGATAGCGTTGTGCAGGCGAAGCATACATAGTGTGGACCTCTGCACAAAAAAGTCCACATAATGTAGGGTGCGATGGCGTTGTGTGGACTCGCACACTTCCACTCAATTAAATGTTTTCCCCTCTCTGAAAAACAGTTTCAAAGGTATTTTGGGGTCAAGGTTATCTGTGGCAAAATGAAGAGGAACGGTCCGGGGAATCATCATCTAAAATCCAGCTCGAAGGAGTTATCCTATAGTTAGAGAAAAAGGAACATTTTCCTCAAGTTTCCTTAACCACAGGAGAACAAAGGAATGTCCACACTTCCTTCCTCATCTTGCCAAAGTATATGTGACACAAATTTATTCAGCCATGGGATTGTATGAGGCGGCGCGTGACAGGGGTAGCCATAATCCGATCCTGTCTCCTGCGATACGGCTTCGAATTTCGATCAAAAGAAGCAGCGCTCGGTGAAGAGCCGTAGCCAGTGTTCGATATTTGTACACGTCGGTAGTCTCACCGCGTGTTGCTAAAATAGAGTACTACGTACACCGTCGTTGGGGTTTTATGGAAGATGTACCCCAAAATAAATTTGCAATGGACGTTAGTAATAATACACATGATAAAGCCTAGAGTAGAAGAGTTTTTAAAGTGATAATGAGCCATTTTATGCAACATCGCTATTAGAAGCCAGTATAGACGCTTGATATCACACACTAATTTTTATCTACACCATTAAACACTGCTAAATTCTAAGCTATTCGAGTATCAAGTGAACTTTCGGTTACGCAATGAATTGCTGTGACAGAATAGAATCACAGTAAACCACATTTTTAATTAAGTTCTTAAATCTGGTTTTTAAAAACCTTTCGAAGCTAATGACCATTTGGGTGGCCTTTAGTTCAACGCTGGCTTCATATTGATGTGTTTCACATTGTTGTGAAAACTGCGGTTGCGAGAATATGTTGATTTCTTTTGATTTCATAAGATCTTTGACCAACAAAATCATCCATCAGACGTCTCGTTTCCATCACAAAAGCTCACTGGCATTCCAGTGTACGACCCTGAACAATAGGCATGCTAAATTGAAGAAGGAAACGCGTGTGTACATTTAGCGCAATCCAGTGACGTAGGTGAAACGAACTTCCTCAGACTGCATGGTTTTTAGTCAGACTGTATCCAAAACGTTTTCGTTCAAACGTACGACCAGCTAGCCCATTTGAAGCAAGACATGGGACGGAGAGAACCCCCCGCCTTTGTGTTGGTCATTGTTTGATCAGCATCTCAGGAATTCTTTACAGACTTCTGGGGGGGGGGGTGTTAGGTAACAATAGTCTAAAGTGTGTATAGGGATTGGATAGGTAAGGGGGGTACCCCTCCGTCCCATATCTTGCCTAGTATAAGCTAGCCTTGAGTTTTCAAACCACAAGCATGTTTACTTCCTCAACTTAGGTTTGCTTATAGAGGGATTTCACATTAGCGCCGTCTGCGCATATCTGCATCGAAACCGAGGCTCTCTGTGTAGAACTTCTTAAGAAGTATTAAGAATTGAAGCTGACACATACAGCCTCGTTTTCAAACGCGGAAGTGCGCAGATCGACGCTAAAGGCGTCGTATTGGGATCCATCTATTGTTCAGCAGCGTACATGCACTGAACATCAGCGAGCTGCATGCATGCTTGACTATAGTTTTTCTAGACTAAGTAACATCAGCATCACAACACTATGCATCATTACCATCACAACACATCGCGGTCCTGTACGATCGTGACATCCCAGGAAAAAGGTCCATATGAAATGTATGAATATACATGTAGACTACCTAGGACCATGGAGTACATGCAGCAGATACGGTTCACCAACAAGGAGGCATTATTTAAACACTGTATGGTTTCGAAAAAACAAACGTTAAAGATGACACATTTCATTGGGCAGGTACCTCTTCTTTTATACATATTGTTCTAACGCGGACGCAGGGCCTACGTCATAAAAGCTGGACCCATCATATGCAGCATGCGTGATACGAACGTCGTTGAAGCTTCCGGTAGCCATTGTTGTTGTACCCTTAAGTAATCTTATAATGCCGCAGTACTAGTATTAGGCTACAAGGGAAATTGGGACAGGGGAGAATTAAAAGCCTTTGGCTTCTCCAGACCCCTATGCTGGCATTTCCGATGTTGCCATTGTCAAGTAAGTTTAACCGACAGTAATATCACACTTATCTTTTTTTCTCGTCAGTTGCTTGTTAATTCTCTATTCATACCAATGTACAGTTACACTTTTTTATTTATTACTATGTTTGTGATATCTCAACTATTGTCGTTAATGTCGATGTCTGCATGAATGAATGGATACAAATTAAAGAGAATATCGCATAAACAATGGTAACGGTGTTTCTTTATAGAAGTTTCTGAGTAGTGGATTTAATACTAATGCGCTCTTCCAATCCTACATATCCACTTTTTCTATCTTTCTTTTACAAATGTAAGTTCCCTTCGTCAGCAGCACAATAAACGGAAGGCGTGTCTACTCGTCAACTATTAGACACTGCTCTTCAATCGAGACGCAAAAGAGGCCATCAAATAAAATTTTGTCAATACATTGTATTTCAGTCATATTAAGCTGGGCAATAGTACTGAATACAGTAGTGCTAGGATGGAGCAAAAAGGTTCGAATCCTTATACTGATCTACTAAACAATTTTTTCCAGAGGGCAAAATATTTCCCAAGAGGAGAAACCATAGGGGACAGACTGAGAAAACCATTATCCGTGGAAAGGGGTCCATTCTAAAATATTTTCAAGCAGTTTGGTGATTTCCCCACCTGTTTCCTCCCCCCCGTAATACCCCCCAAACGTGCAACTTTTCACCCATGGGACATGAGCCACAGGAGTATTCGCAAAGGACTCATCCCTATGTTTGTGGCATCAAAGTTTATACCCTAAAAATTTCTCAGCCTACCACATGCGAGTCCCATAAAAAATCGGTTCACCTGATGATGATACAGAATTCCCCGGACGTCCCCGAGCTCAGAGAACAGCACCATATCTTTGTGTAACAAAATCGCTGTTACGGATGTGCCCAGGTTTCAGGTTCCAGGTTTCAGTTATTCAGGTTTCGTAAGACAGTCAGTAAACGGATCATCATGTTTACCAAACAATGGATATGCCTGAACAACAGATCTTTCCTGTTGGCCGACAGGAAATCTGGCTCCGTCAGAAAATTCCGAGATCTTTCCTGCGGTTCACTCCATGCGTATTTCAATACAACATTTGGTCTATATCATCAGGCACGCAATCTCTTATTTGACTTTGGGGAAAACAAGGATAGTGCTGACTTATTGCAAAGAAAAAGGTCATACTAGGGCAAATCCGATCTGCTACGAGTTGTCAACCAATGGTCAATTCTGGCTAGTAACTATGCATGAAATTTATGCCGGGCACCGGGCAAAATCAACCAACGGTTACCAAGTCAACTTACCCTGGTGTACTTGCGACACTACATTGATTGTGAGCACTATTGGGCCATTTTTCCCCACTTTGCTAGTGCCCGGAACAGTTTCAAAAGTCAGTTAGCTTGAGGGGGGGTTCCTTGGTAACCTTGTAATTTGACAACCTCCCCACCACACATTCAAACAGAATGATATCACATGATATCAATTTTACACATACACTAAAAAAAATCATAACAACCTTTGAGCTAGTTGATACAGTGCTCCAAGATTTCATCTTGGATTGACATTTTGCCTGCCCAATTATGCCAGCAACGTTTTTGAAACTGTCATCCCAAATGGAGCTATCTGAGACCACATTTCAGTTGTACCCTGTGCTCATGACGGAGTAATATGAAAAATATGAAATGTATCCACAAGTGTTAGAGATTTTTGAAATAAATGGAGGTTTGTTAATTTTGCTCAAGCAAAAACTGCCTGTCTTGAATAAATTTTGTCTGACCTCAGGACAAGTGGAAAGATGGCTTGGTGGGGCACTGCAGTGTTACCATTACCTACAGCTCCTTAGAAATAAGCCGGGCAATGTTACGCCCACTGACGACAGCTATCTCCATCTGCGACGCCACGCTCTCCAGCCCGTTCAGATAGTACAAGCCGTCGGCCAGTATAATGCTCTGGTACCCATCGGACCCCCTGACTGGCGGGCACACCGGGTGGACGTAGTCCCACCGCTCGCTCTTAAAATCTCGGACCCCTTCAAAGAGCTGGTCCAGGAAGCCTTCTTCGGCAATGTCCTCGGAGTGAAATATACTGTAGGAGTTGTACCCCTCGCTGGAGTCCCTGCTCCGGAGGGCCACCCAGGGCTGGGAGGCGTCGGATGTGGTGTATATGCATGAGGGATTGTCCGGAGAGAGGGAGACGCCCTTGAAGTAGCTCTTACGGATGGACTTGGCGGCGACTTTACTCACGTACATGTACACACGTTCCCACTCCCGTTTTGGCTGCACAATGGCCGGGATAAACCCTTCGAACTCAATGCCTGTGCAAGGAAAACAATCGTACACACTCTGTCATTCTAAAGTGCAGTTTTACACCTGTATGTGTGCTTGTTCTTGTCGACCATCTAGATCCATGGAAAATATTAAACGTTTCGGGAGAACTTTGGACTGACCAGGAAGAGTAATTAAAAGGGGAGGGGAGGAATTCGAGACTCACTGATGAGATAGGTGTGGACAGAGTGTCATGGAAACATGGAAAGGGAATTTGAGACTCACTGATGAGATAGGTGTGGACAGAGTGTCATGGAAAGGGAATTTGAGACTCACTGATGAGATAGGTGTGGACAGAGTGTCATGGAAACATGGAAAGGGAATTTGAGACTAACTGATGAAATAGGTGTGGACAGAGTGTCATGGAAACATGGAAAGGGAATTCGAGACTTACTGATGAGATAGGTGTGGACAGAGTGTCATGGAAACATGGAAAGGGAATTCGAGACTCACTGATGAGATAGGTGTGGACAGAGTGTCATGGAAACATGGAAAGGGAATTTGAGACTCACTGATGAGATAGGTGTGGACAGAGTGTCATGGAAACATGGAAAGGGAATTTGAGACTCACTGATGAAATAGGTGTGGACAGAGTGTCATGGAAACATGGAAAGGGAATTTGAGACTCACTGATGAGATAGGTGTGGACAGAGTGTCATGGAAACATGGAAAGGGAATTCGAGACTCACTGATGAGATAGCTGTAGACAGAGTGTCATGGAAACATAGAAAGAGAATTCGAGACTCACTGATGAGATAGGTGTGGACAGAGTGTCATGGAAACATGGAAAGGGAATTCGAGACTCATTGATGAGATAGGTGTGGACAGAGTGTCATGGAAACTCCTGAGGATGAGACGCTACGGAGTACCACGGAAAATCGTCAATATGACACAGCACAGCTATGTTGGGCTGAGCCCTGCAGAGTTGTGTTTGAGAGACAGCTCACACGACAGTTCCAGATCAAGACCGGAGTGAGACAAGGGTGTCCTCTGTCTCCATTCCTTTTTTTTTCTGATTATTGACTGGTCGATGAAGACAACAACCGCCCAGAAGAGGAATGGTATACGATGGACACTTTGGTCTCGGCTAGAGGACCTGGACTTTGCTGATGATTTGGCTCTACAGTCCCACAAACACCGGCAGAAGCAGGAAAAGACAGCCAGACTCCAGGACTCCTCAGCACAAGTAGGACTGATCATCTATCCAAAGAAGGCCAAAGTCATGAGGATGAACACTAAGTGTACTCACACAGTGGTGCTACATGGAAATGAGGAAGTATCATCAATAGGGAGGGAGGGACAGATGCAGAGGTTAAGGTCAGGATTGGAAAGGGTCGAGCAGCCTTTCTACAGTTAAAAGAGTATGGAACTCAAGGAAACTTTCAACAAAAACAAAAATCAGGAATTTCAGTACTCCTGCACGGATCAGAAACATGGAGGATGACAGAAACTACTCTTCAAAGGCTAGGATCCAAACCTTTAGTAAACGGCTGTCTCAGGAAGATTTTGGGGATACACCAGCCGGAGGGGATCAGCAACATCGACCTCTGGGACAGAACAGAGCCAACGTCAATGAAATATGAAAAGGAGGAAATTTAGATGGCTGGGGCACACACTTAAGAAATCAACAAGTACAACACGACAAGCGCTCACTTGGAACCCCCAGGGGAAAAGGAAAAGATGAGCCCGGCCAAGGAACACCTGGCAACGAGCCCTCCAGGCAGACACTAAGAAGCTGGGCATCACCTGGAGACAACTTGAGGCAAGGGCACAGGAAACAGCTCTTTGGAAGTCTCTCACAGACGGCCTTCATCCCGGGAATTAAGGGTCCAAGGCGTTAGGTGAGTAAATCTCTGCAGGCCACTTCTAGCTTGCAAGCTAAATACAGTTCCACATGGGTGCTATACCTGACGTAACACAACGGGCAAAGTCATTTCAGAGAGCATACCATGTCGGTGGAGGCACATGCACTTTCGAATCTGAGAATTTCTGTTGGCAATTTCATGCAGATACTGTGAGAATGACGAGAGACTTCAAAGACGCGCGCGCTTCCAAGCACACCTTTGTAAATTGAACGCTGCCTGTCAAAAATCATGCGACAGAAAATCCTCCATACAGGAATCCTCAAGGGTTTAACAAGAAACATATTCATAAATGCCTCAGTTAGTGCACCCATTTCTGTTGGTAGAGAGCCCATCACAAGGGTCGTTTAATGCAGATTCTGAAAGTTTACATGTATTTCTAGTTTTTGACCGATTTCCCAGGTTCATATGAAATTTTGACTCCTTTTTCATAGATTCTAACCATCATACATGACAATCATCATTGTCACGTAAACATGTGCATAAAACCAATGATGAGACTGCATATCATAACAGTATGAAGGTTCATTATCCATCACATTACGTAACACGCGCTGCATGCATCCAGTTTCACATAAGGAGACACCTGTACTCGGGCTGTGCCGTAAATGTGAATATCCAATCCATGATCGAATATTCGAATATTACTTTCCAAATTTGAATATTTGACTACAAAATTCATGAAAAGCAGGGGAGACTTTTATTTTAAGAGAAAAACTGCACTACGGAGGCTTGTTTCAAGCAGTTTCAAATGAAAAGCGAACAATCTTACAACAATTCAAAAAGTAAACTGTTCACTGAAAAATTTGAAAGGAATAGAAATTTTCAACAGGATTGTTTGTCTCTTAAATCTTGCTAAATCATGGCTGGAGATACTCCTAGATGTGAGAAGCTGTTATGCTATTATATTGATTATAATGTACAATTGTGTGTGTTATCGCAACTGATTTTGTGTACGGTTTGTTCATCAACAATCTGCCGAACGGTACGATCGAATATTGGAATATTCGATCGAATTGAAGGTCGAATATTCGAATAGTGAATTATTCGAATCGACTCAGCCCTAACTTGTACTGCAGGCATTATGAGGCAAGTACCATAGATACAACAGCGGGGTATTCCACAAGAACAGGGTAAACTTGATGAGCAAATTCATAGGAAAAATAAGAATTTTTAACTTATAATAATGACAACATTAAATACGTACCTGCCCACTCAAGAGGTGATGCAATGACAATAGTGTCGGCACTTATCTTAAGCTTCGGCTCGGCCTCTCTCTGGCTGTACCACACCTCAAACTGGTCCTCCATTTTCCGGACTAGAGAGACAGATGAGTTGAGATGGAGGTTGCAACCCGAGGATTCGATCAGGGTCTTCACCAGCTGACTCATTCCGCCCTCTGTCTTGAAGGCTGCAACAGCAGAGGGAGGTTCAAATCATGGGCTTTGCCAAGATTTTTTTTGGGGGGGGACAAATCCACTTGTTCCTATGGGGGAATTTTTAGGAAGGGCAGGCAAAACACTTGTCAGCTTGAAAAGAATGGGTAATGTTAACACCACAGACTGCAAATTTCTTTGCATGGAACTAAATTCTCCCGATTGGCCTTTCCAAGATTTGCCAACTTGCACACACTGCACTCTGAAGATACGAATAGGAAGTTACTGGAAATACCTCAGGAAAATTTGAGAAAAATTACCTTGGTAACCAAAATATGCTGGTATTCAGTCAAGACAAATTTCTCTTTGAACAATACTTGTTTAGGTCACTGTGCAGAGTAATACATGCCTTCCATTTACAACGCTGCCATTGGCAGTCTCTAATAAGCCCTATAGCAACGTATCACTGGACCTCACCAACAAATTTCTCGTGCCATTGTTGTCAACCTTTAATCCCAGCAAAGGCAATGACTAACTGAGCCACCTACCATCCTGATAGACCCCCGCTAGGCAAATCATGGCCAGAGCCACGCTGGATTCCAACCCCTGGCCGAAGAACTCACGCATCACTGTCTCGATAACATACTTTTGGACCCTTTTGCTAACCGGCGTGTCGCAAAAGAACTCCTCCACAGACTGACGGGTGTAAGCCTCCAGTCCCCCTGCCGCCAGAAATTCCGGGATAGAGCGGAAGGTTCCATTGTCGTACTTCTGGTAGGTGGCCTCCAGGGCAGACAGGAATTCCTTTAAGCTCTGCCGCATTTTTGCGTCTGCTTCTGGTTCGATGGACAAGAGTTTGCCAGTCTGCACGATCTCACGGCCATCCCAGATGGTGTTGTCAGGAAAGTCACCACTGCGTTTAAAGCAGTGAATCTTCAGGTTCAACTCCTTGGCCAATGCAGCAATATTCCTGTCGATGTAATAAGACACCAATGAACTTTTGGGCAACTACTTTTAACACAATGGGATTCACATTACGGATCAGTTGTGTCTGGTAAATTGTTGGCCGATCAGCAATGCAATTAATGCCACGTTGCCAGCATCCTGCACATAGGGTACACTTGCCACAGGCTCCCCTCATGCACGAAAACAAGGGTTGTACTGAACCCTGCTTCCATCCACCTACGTGTATGGCTAATAACCTGGACCCAACTGAACGGAGTTGCTTAACAGTTAGCAGGAAAGTCCTGCTTACTTTAGCAGCGAATTTTGCTTGCATTGCTTTGGCGTGCTTGCGCTCATGCATAAGCACACACAGAGATTCCCACTGTTGCATCTCAAAGGTAACCGAATTTTTCCTGTGAAGAAAATGTGCATTCTTAAGTGCCATGAAATACATGTACTTGGAACCCGTTCAAGTAAAATCTTGTGCTTAGCAGCGCTATGAAATTGGGCCCACGTCTCGGGCTTTTGTACATTGTGGGGCAGCTGGGGTCATCGACCTCCATGTATTACTTAGGGTCATTAATATTTTTCTTGCCTCATCACCTCTGCTCAGTGTTGAATAAAGCTGCTCCCATATTTACAGTACTTCCCCAGAAAGTTATATCTTTGGTGCGTCCACCTTGGGAAGAGAAATACATGAGTTACATGTACTACTTACTTTACGATCATGTACTGAGCCCGAGGGTAAGTCTGGGTGCTAGTTTGGCCACTGGTCAAATGCACCTGCACAAGAACAACCCTGGTCAAGATATCTGCAACATCCTATCGTCACTCACATTTTGCCATCGCTTGCAGTTACGCTTGTGGTCTGGCATCTTGTACAATTACTGTCAGATCAATAGACCCCATCACAAAAAAGCTACTGACAACCGGCAGTGCAACCATACCCCAGGGGGCCTGGTTCCAAACGGTTCAGATGTTCGGTCTCTGAATACAGTCTGGGAGCATGCACAAATCCGGTTATTAACCCTAACTCCCTAGGGTGTGTGCAAAATCGTATTAAAATTGGAGGATTCAGGGCTGTTAGGGTTAAAAAAACACTTTCTGCCCTCCTGGCTCTTCTTGGCCGGTGAAGGGGGTACGGGTAGCTAATGTCCCCTCAGAGCAGAATATCAGATCTCCTCAGGTAGGTTCACCAAGAAATCCCCCCCTTCCCTCCTTCCCCAGCATGCCTCAGCCACACACGAGCATCGATAGGTCACAATTGTTGGAAACAAAATGGTAGATGTATGCGCCAGTGCACATGGGCAGTTGGTATACATAAGCCATATGGTCTGAGGCACATGTAACAGTCAACCATTTTGTTTCTAACAGCGGCTTTGCATGGTAGCCATCTTGCAGGGCAATTTCTTTTGTTCCATGGGGAAACCTCCTTTGTTTACACCCTTTGGAACAACAAGCACTAGCCTACAAGATGGCAGCCATGCAAACCCTCAATATCTGAAGCTGGCAAGCTACTCTCTCTATAGCTATTGCCTCAACATGTGCTCCTTTCTCACCGACTCTGTCCCGAGCCTCTAGCACAGTGACGGTGACCCCTGGCAATTCCTTCCTGAGGTAGTAGGCGCAAGTCGCACCCCCCATACCGGCCCCTACAATCACCACATGAGGAGATCCACTCATCGTGCTGTCTGTCTCCACGACGAGGGTGTGGCCATGCAAACTTCTGCTCTGCTTCAATCTCCTAAAATAGACCTGTTCAACAAAGACAAGGTCAATTTAAAGACTAGGTATGTATTTTTCTGGCACCAGTCACACATATTATTGTTGGTTTGAAAGCCACCATTCACCCAGTGTCATGTAACTGCCATGTTCTGGGAAAGCTTCAGCTTTTTCCCAATCCGAATCGGTCCCAATGTCTTCCCTGAATGTTTTAAATTGAATTCCAGATTAACCTGCAGGATTTTCCACTTTGTCTTCCAGTGATCTGTGGCTTTGAGCGATTTTTTAAAGGGAAATGAACTCCGAAATTGCTTTAGGATTCTGTCTTAATTGGGAACATAAATTCAATAACATGTAAAAATGATTGGTCGCGATAAAATAACGTCCGAGCTTCCAAAACTGTTTAATGCACATTTTACATGTTCATCAGCCATGCTGGCAAAAACCAGTATCAAATACACCCTCATTTAAGTCATAGGCCACACAGTCAAATATCCATAGCCTCAAAAAGCTGTACATTTCAGATTGGATACAACTTCTGCATAATTACATTAAAACCAATTCCAACAGTAGGCATACATGTATGTGCTGATTATATACATTGGTAGGTAGGTCCTATGTATACAGCACAGTCCAACTGCAACATAAAAATGTTACAGCCGAGGCTCATAAATATGCATGATTGTGGTCTGCTACACAACTTTGAATATAAAGACATTTGAAGTAAATACTGTATTTGAAAACAAAAATATTACTGCCATTTCTGATGACTGACTGCAACATAATTCCACAAGAGCCAGGCTAGCGGAAGGCCTACTTGCAGCATTTTTATCCCCTATGCATCGTGGCATAGGGAAAAATTCTCTTCGTAAGTTCGTGTACATTATAGCCTATGTCATTAAAATGTCCA